ACCGCAAGGGGTCATTACACCATGTCCAAACATTCCCTGGCCGGCTAGGTCTTCTTCCATTCCATGGAGCTTCTCCCCTTCTTTTGACCAGTTTGCTTCCAGACTCTGGTCGTGGGGAGTTCCATGGCAAGCGGTGAGGCTCCGGTTCAGTTAGAAGGGTTCTATTTGGTAGTGATCATGTGGCCATCAACACTTTTTGTGTTTTGAAAGTTCTTGCGGTAGCGAGGTGTTTGGTTTGGTGGAGAGGTAGTGCATGAGGCCCTCATGGTGCAACCATCAGTTATTGTGTCAGAGTGGAGACTGAGCTACTTAGTCAGGTGTGGCAAACTCAGCAATGATAACCCTCATGCTCTTTCATCCTGGTAGCATCAAAGGAGTAATTGTGCAGTTGGATTCCCAACGTGGCTATGTGTTGGTGTGTTCGGATGGAATCAGAGTTGCTCTACAATGATGGCAAGCTTAGCAATGATATCCCTTATCTGCTTTCATCTTGGCAGCACTGCAGCGGCCTTAGATTTCATAGTTGACACGCAATGAGAGCCTAGGAAGAAGTCTTGTTTGGTCTTTGACTATAGCCAACATGTCAATGCCTATGGGCATCGTTTCCATCTTGAAAGACGTCGTTGCTTTGCTCTCATCTTTTCTTTGGGTGAAAATCTTGTTACGATGCTCAGACGAACATTGTTCACGTCTTGGACACTATCTTCCTCCTTGTAGGCTTCGTTTAGAAGACCCTGCACTACGGTTTCTTGGTTGATATAATTGGTTGTCTAGTACGTGGCTTGATGATATGAAGTCGGAATTGCTCTTTTGAGCTCTGCAATGATGAATTGTATTTCTAGCTTCAGTTGTGCCACTGCAAGTGTCTAGTTTGTTCTCCATGTGGGATTTTGGTCGGTTTCTGCAATTACTCGTGCATTTGTGATATATTTTGGGCTCGGTTTTTTCTTAAAAATTGGGTGAAGTCTCTTCTTCTTAAATGAAAATAGGCGCTCCATGTTCTCTTTTGAGATTTAGCAAAAAAAATAAACATGGAATAAGTATTATAGTTTGTCGATTTGATCGTGTGTGTATACATATTCCTTTTGATCAACTTTGGATAGAATTTGTGCTAATGTATGTATATGCATGCCATTCTTGTCATGTAGAAATCCAGTTCACTTGTTTATAACTTATGCTCGGAAAATTGGAAAGATAGGCAATGATATACTCCAACTAATGAATTATCAGTCTGTATGGGTGAAAACGGTAACGGTAATTCCCAGCCGACCGGTGTTCGTTTCTGACTTTCTACCAGCCGAGCCATATGGAAATGGTAATCGACAGAAAAAAAAATGGAAATGGAAACGGAAATGGTTTTGCTATTTTACTAATCATTTCCGTATTTACCGTATTCTTGTGGAAATTACCGTTTCTTATAATATAATAATTACCGTATTTCTAAATATCTCGATATTTATAGGGCATGTCTCTACTTGACCCACAGTTTAGAGATTGATTGACTCTTCAATCAAATCCCTAACTTGAGTGTATGGCTAAAATAGAGTTAATTTATAATTTATGTAGTATAGCTTGAATTTATTTGTACATATAACATACTTATGTAAAGTTAAATAAATGTTTTCTATAGTTTAATGTTTCCGTATTTTTTACCGGTTTCCGATCTATACCGACATTTTTCCGTCCGTATTATTCCATTTCCGGCTTTTCGATATTTCCGATATCGTTTTCGTTTCCGACTTTACCATATTCGATTTCATTTCCGAGAAAAATATGATTATGAAAATGGTTGAGGCTGTTATCCGATCGTTTCTGACTGTTTTCATCCCTATCAGTATGTATATAAGTTTTTTCCCTAAAGAACGGACACACATATATACACACTGTTATGCCAACACCACCACACGGAACTTATGCTCACACTGTCACATGCACTTGCATACGTGGAAAGATCCTAGACACAAAAGTACACATAATGTATTTATCTATGCACTACGATATGCATTTACATACATAGAGTAGATCCTAGACACAAACATACACACCTCGTAATTATACTCACAACGCCACATGCAGTGGCGCTCCCACATGCATTCAATTACCGGGGTTACAAGACCAGGTAATTTATCCAATACTAACTAAAATGTGCCATTTAAACTAATATACTAGCTAATAATTAGATAATTATTATGTATTGGATCCCTGGTAATTTTTCTCTAAGTTGACCACTAGCCACACACATTTACGTACGTGAATGAATCCTGGACACAAACGTGCACAGACCATACTTATGGCCACACCACCACACGTGATGGATCGTAGACACAGACATACACATATCATCGTTCCTATACCCATGTAGTTGTCGTGGCGAGACTAATAATTGGTGGTGCGACGCGACCTCACATCGAAGCGGCGTGGCATATTCAGGGGCGCGGTCGTGGTGAGCTCAAACAGAGCCAACGCGAGCTCACTGCCACACACACTTACATATGCGGATGGATCCTAGATACAAACGTACACACGCATATATGCCTAAACGTACCCACACTGTACTTATGCTCACACTGCCACACACACTTGCGTAGTGGATGGATCATGTATACAAACGTACCGACACATGCATTTACACCCACACACCACTATACTCTCTCCGTCCAAAAAAAAAAAGATAAACCCTGGTTTTCGTGCCCAACGTTTGACCGTCCGTTTTATTTAAAAAAATTATGAAAAAAATTAAAAAGACAAGTCACGCATAAAATATTAATCATGTTTTATCATCTAACAACATTGAAAATACGAATTATAAAAAAAATCCATATAAGACGGACCGTCAAAGTTGGACACGGAAACTCAGGGTTTGACTTTTTTTGGGACGGAGGGAGTACGTACTTATACGTGGATGGATTCTGAACACAAACATATACACATGGTATTTATGCCAACACCTAGGGATGAAAATGGTACGGAAATTTACCGACTGCACCAATACCGTTTCCGTAAAAAATAATATCACTTCCTATTGTTATGAAATTTAGCTTTTCTAGTTTCTATTTGCGTTGTATTGAAGTTGCTACTAAATAGTTAAATTTATAAATATGAAAAATTCCTAACCGTAATAACATTGCCGTAAAATAAAAACTAGTATTGTTTTCGACTGCTCTCATCTCTACTCACATCGCCGCACGCACTTATGTATGTGGATGGGTCTTGGACATACCCTTGCGTACGTGGACAAGTCCTGGACATAAATGTATACACGTCATACTTATACCTATGCATGCATTGCCACACACACTTATGTACATGGATGTACATGGATGGATCCTATCACACATTTAAAATATCAGAAATTAATAGGACAAGTACACACTTTGAATATATATATACACCCACATGTGCTAGTTTATATGCATATAGGTTCATAGTACTTATACACCGTATAACGCACAATAAGATCGATCATATATATGACTATAGATATATATTGAAGTCAGAAATTAAGACTATTCTTGTCGGCCGGAGGGGAGAAAAAAAACAGAGAAAAGACTAGTATATTCCAACAAATCCATGATGGAAAATCAAACTAAACCATTCCTAATTTTTCAGAGGGAAGAATGACTTTTCTGGTCGTACGTGACAGTCGTAGACGACTGGACGGACTGACCGTATGTAGCTAAGCTAGCTATGGTACGTACATACTGTGATAGTGAAGTACTGTATATATATACGTAATACGTACATATATACGCGTAGACGTGACAGAATATTAATTAGCGAGAAATGCAACGTGGATTACGTTAATTGTTAGGTACACCTCAGAATCAATTAATTTAGCTGCATGACGCAGTAGACTACACGTGGAGTGTGATGGTCAACATCACAAATTAACGCAGGATGAGCTAGAAAGTTATAATTAAGAGTGAATAATATTTAAGAATAAAGTCAAATTTAATTCGTGAAGGTTTCGGATAGTGTATCCACAGAAATGAAATCCACTAGCTAGCTAGTATTCATATATATGCACTTCAAAATTCAAAAGATCACCTGGGGTTGGAGATCGAGATTAGTAGTACGTTCAATACAGAATAACAATGCATGACTATTAATTCTCGAACACGCGGAATGACGAAACGATATAGCAATTCAACATTTGATGATATGCCAAAAGTCTTTGTAAATCTTATTTACATTGACACAATGGTGAATACTAAATATGTCAGTATATACGTCAGTCAGTCGTTGCAAGCTTCTTTGGTCAGTCTCCTCTTCACCGCCGACCACAAAATAATTCAGTTTGATCGCTGTATTGGTCTTGTCTCTCCTGTGTAGTGTGTGTGCACACTGCACAGCACAATTTCTGTTTCTTTTCCTCTACCAGAAGATCATTCTTGTAGTAATATTTAATTACTTCTTCAAGTAATTACTATTTATATTGGACTGGTAGAAGCAAAAAAAAATCAAACTAGAGTTTTTGGGCCCTTGTACCTTGGGCCTTTTTACCTTTGAAAACTTTGAGCCAGCAACAGAGCTTGGGAGAAATGATCAATCATCCTTGTTCACAAGGCTGCCTGACATGGATGCTCTGGAAGCTAATGGATATCAATCATGGGCCACAAGAATGATTTTTCTTGCCATGTGGTTGATGTCTTTTAACATAGTATCAAACCAGAGAGAGAAAATAAAGAGAATCTGAATTTTACAACTGAACACACATGCAATAGTGGTGAGGAATTACCTGAAAAAATAAGGATATTCTATATTCAGCTGATATTTGATTTAATCTGTAAGTTCTAACCAAACCTGGGTGTAGCTGAACACCTCAACTTATATGTGCAAAACAAGCATACATGAAAGCAAAAAAGTGAAGCAGCCACACTCAACCAATCTAGGACAGAAGTTTTTTGTCTGAACGCTGAACTCCCAAATCATCCTGTCCACTCATGGCTTGTGGTCCAGAACAGCCTAAGGAGTATTGAACCAAAGAAAAGATAATTCTCTCAATGAAAAACAAGAAGCAAAAAAATTATTCAAGAAACATCATAGAGCCAGAGCTAGAGCATCACAGAGAAAGAAGAACTTGCTCCCAATAAACTATCCATGCTTCTTGCAGAGATGATGAACAGCTCAGTGCTGTTCTTGCCAAGCTCATCCCTGTTCCTCACAAAGCAGCTGGTACCTGCAACCAAGGGCAGAGCATCAGCAGCAGCTGCTGTTAGGTGCAGCAGTGGGCCCAATCTGTCAGAAGCACATGAGGAGGAGGATGGTGTAGCCTCCTTGATGGGGAGGAGGCATGCAATGGCTTCTGCTGCTGCTGCCTGTGGAGTTTCAGTGTTTGGTTTTGCAGGTGAGAGCATGGCAGTGAAGCAGGGCCTTCTGGCTGGGCGGATCCCTGGGCTCTCTGACCCTGATGAAAAAGGTTGGTTCTTTCTACCATTTTGACCCTTAATTCATGTGCTTTACAATGTTTTTGTTTATTTGAAGGTTCCATTTAGACAGTTTAGACAGAGAGACAGATTGTCTAATGTTCTTCATGCCTTTCTTGAGACAATAGTTTTGTTGCTTGTTTTGTGCTCATAAGGATATTCAGAACCCTTCAGTTCAGGATAAATGAACATGGTTGAAAATGGTCTACCTATTGCCCATGATTAAAAATACTTTAATGACCTCCCAGTAATCTCCACTGTGAAACCAAGTGCTATAGATGCTAATACTGTAACTGCTGAATCATAGCCATAAACTTCGATATCATGCATGTTTCCACAAGTAAATACTACTACATGTTTTTGCTGTCAAAGAATTATAGCATCATGTTTAATATGAGACATAGGCAACATGCAAGTGATATATGGTCAATATCTTTGTACAAAATTTGCAGTAGCTTCCATTTTTTGTCATATAAGGATCATCTTTCAGGCATGCTATCTGAAAAAAAGGAACTGCTGGATTGTTTTCATGATATAGTTTGTTCAGACAGGTTGGAGAACATACCGTAGGCCAGACGACAAGTCCGGTGGACATGGAGTTGGATGGAGCCCAATCATTCCCTACAGCTTCAAAGTTCGTGATGGCTGGGAAGAGGTGAAAAACTGAAGCTACTGTCACAAATTCAGATTTATAGAACACTGTCACAATCTTTCCGATGCAAAATTGATGCTGTTCCAATTTTTCAATGTAGGTCCCGGTGTCGATTGCTGATCTTGGTGGCACCGAGATCGACCTGCGGTTTGCGAATTCCAAGCAGGGACGTTTGTTCGTCGTTGTAGCACCGGTTCGCAGGTTTGCAGGTGAGAAGCACATTCTTCTGAAGAGAATGCAGTTTCTGTAAGATCTTCCTAGGATGGTAACAATCTTAGCACTACTAACTGACATGATGAACTGTGCGAAGAACTCGACGATGCGACAATTGAAAAGATCGGTACACCGGAGAAGGTGATCGACGCCTTCGGACCAGAGGTGATCGGTGAAAATGTTGAAGGGAAGGTTTTGTCCATGGCAACAGCAGAGTATTCAGGAAGAACTTACTACCAGTTTGAGCTGGAACCACCTCATATCTTCATCACTGCAACTGCCGCTGGAAACAGGCTCTACCTGTTCAATGTAACTGCAAATGGTAAAACTACTGTTCCTATCTCAAAACTGTATGACATTTTCTTTAGAACTCCGAATGCTGAATAAAAGATATGGATCGTTGCAGGGCTACAATGGAAGAGGAATTACAATGACCTGAAGCAAATAGCTGAATCATTTCGTGTTGTCTAGGGTTTAAATAAATTGCTCACGATGTATCTGTTTATGTGCATACCATTAGAGAAAATGAGGTGCTATTATACAGACTGCAGAGGGGCAATGAGTAAGAAAACATAACTTTTGAATATGAGTTGTTAAAGCTGAAGCTTTTGAACATTGTACGTAAACTTCCCTTTTTGAGGCCTAAATGCCTAATACTAGATACAAAATTTTCTAGATCTAAGGAACCTAAAAATTCAGACACACATATCACACATCCTTTGCAATTTCTGTCTCTGTGACTATGTGACAAACCGATGAATGTACAATTTCTTCCCTCTACCTGCCAATTTTCCCATCTTGAATTCTGGACCTGCAGGCTACAGGATTCTTGGATGTAGATCACTGAAAGAATGATACCCTTGCCTGACTTGCATGACTGAGTCGAGTACCAGTGTAATTCTGATGCGTCACTGGAGCTCCATTCGTCGACAGAAACACCAATACAGAGAGCAAATGGACTTAGGTCGCCATGCAGAGCTGAAATTAAGAACATACACCATTTCATTCAATAGGTTATAGGATGCTAAGGTTTGTACGACACTGGCTAGAAATGGCATGGGTAATAACTACAAGAGAAGAAACCAGTACAGCATGCATGCAAAAACCTCATGGAAAACATGCGACAAACCATTTAGCAATCGTTTAATTGGAAAAGGACCAGCTTTCTTCTTTGATAAAAGAATTTCAAGAAAATAGGGTAATCAACGTTCAAAGGAGAGCTGGAACAAATAGGTTCACTCAAGAAGAACGTAGTCCAAACTCCTAAGCAGACATTTTCCAAAAGTTGCTTGAGAACTAAGCAAATGTGATTGTGACGCACAATTTTATTGATAATGCGTTTGCACCCTGGCCATTTCTTTATAATCACATGTTCCTTTTAGTAGCTTGCCAGTAGAATTAATGAGATAAATGTAGTGTATGCAGCAATGATTGATTTACAGGAATTACTTCATACTTGTTTAATCAACAGTATTCTACCTCCTAACTAAAAAATAATATCATACAGCAAAATAAAAGTGGCAAACCTACATCATCACATCAGTGCTTTCCATTCAGGCAGATGCACTCGGGAAATGGGTTTTCATAAAAGGATTCCTCGGTCCTTAGACGTGCTCTGCCCTTGCTCCCTGGCAAGGAGCCATATCTCTTCCTTGGAGCTCCTTGCCTGAAAACAGAGAAATACAATCTCAGTCCAATCCTTAAAGCGTGAAACAGAAGAGTACATGTGGCATAAATCAAATCACCTGTTTTTATGCATCTCAGTAACAAGTGAGGAAAACTTTGGACCTTCCATAAGTTCCCCTTTTTGTAGTAAATCAAAGAGTTCCACCAATCCTCTCCTGAAGATTAAATGTGACAAAGATTTTAATCCAGATGTGAGAGAAAAAAAATAAACTAAGCAAGCAACTAGCCTCCAGGCCAAGATTGGTAGATGCATGATACAGGAAAAAAAATAACGTTTTTGTGAATATTCCAATATTTACCTGTCAGGAGTGACAGTCTTACGATGACCTAGAAATCGACGATGTCCCTCAACAGCTCTTGCCATATTGCCAGAATGTGATGGAATAAACACGTCACTTTCAACTGAAACTATGTAATCAAGGGCTGCAACTTGAGAAGCATGGTCGTTAAATTTACCAAGCTCTTCTTTTGTTGCTAACACTTCCTGCAAAAAAAAATCTTTGGTTCAGAAATATAGTATACAATGGTTCGCAGAAGTGATTAAAAAAAGGTAGCACAGCTGACCTTGCTAACCAAGTTCGGGAAGTATGATCTCAATTTTGATATATACTTATCACCGCCATAAATTTCACCAGCTGCAAGGTAGATCCATGTGGATTCAGGATATCCCATGGCTCGCAGAAAAATCCCCACCTCCTCAGGCGTTAGTGGACAGTTACCTCCAGATCTCTGTTCAGTTGAGTTTATGTCCTTCAATTTCCAGTGGCTTGTTTTCTCCCTGTTCAGATGGAGAAAGCAAATTCATACAACCATAGGGAAAAAATAAAGGAACTGATTTTCATTGATTATTGGTACCTCATAATTCTTAACTCATCTGCTTCCGATTCACTCAGACCATAAGTGCATCCCGTGAATGCTAGCATATCTTTTTCATATCGGAGATGAAGAGCAATAAATTTTCCACGTGATCTTAGACGCTCCAAAAGCTTCTGTTGTAAGTGTTATGTTGGCTCAGAACCTAGTTTACAGATTGCCATAAATTTCCAAATGCAAATTGAAAACTGTAATACAGATCCTGAGTTAGAGAAAGGATAAGGTTATTAAGAGAATGCCCATGCCTTTCCAAGGTTCTCAATTGGATCTGAAAAACGCAGTGCTTGGTAAAGACAGCGGCATCTTAATCTCTGGATATCAATCGGAAGACCATTGTTAGCAAGTCGTGAATCTGATTTCGGGATGTGAACTACCTGTAACAAATATGGTTGGTGTGAGCTCGCATAAATGGCTTTCAGGTTTCAAAGAAGGCAAAAGTGCCATTTAAAAAAAAAACAGATATTTTCTCTCCGGTCATCTTTTCAGTTGGAAAATCAGAGTTATTCAACAAATTTTGTATCTAGTTGAGAATCTCTGATGTTATTTTATGCCAGCAGGTGCTCAATGCAATAATGCTGGTAGCACAGAGAAATAAACGACCATCATGATAAATTATATGAGTAATATTTTTTTCACGCAAATTCATGATTATGCTTCATATATATCATGTAAATCATAACTACAGCTCTAGCATTCTTGATCCTATTTCGGAATAACTACATTAAACCATTTCAATATCAAGAAGTACAAAATTTAAGAGCTAATAGCACAAAGATACTCTGCACAGAAAGGTCGCTATTTTATTTAAAAACAAAAGAAATCATTTTTATGGGCATCTAAAACTCTGCAGTGCTGAGGCGGTTCATTGTGAAGGAGAGCTGCTTAACTGAAGAAATACCTTGTGATCCTTCCAAAGTTGTTTCACCTCCTCATAATAACTAGCACCAGACCATGAAGTAAAGTGCTTCCGAGCTCTTGGAACAGACTGCAGGCTTTGAGGCAAGTCATTCACAATGCTGACATCCCCTTCCAGAGCTTTAATAAAACGAGGCTCATTGAAGATGTCCTTAAATGTACTGTAAAAAGCAGAGTAAATTGTTAACACACTAAACATGGAGGGAACAGTATATGACAACTAACCAAGGCACCAAGCACATTCTAATGGTAGGCACCTGGTATCTTGCCAAAAGGATCGCTTATCTAATTGAGGAATAACAAGTGTTGCATTCACCAAACGGGCCACTGCAACCATATCACAGATCTGCAGAGGGAAGAACAATCCTCAAATTAACCATGTTACAGTAAATTTATTGAGGATGATCACAAAGAAAAGATGAATAAATGACAATAATTGCAAATATAACATAAGAAATTTTCTGCAGGATGAACCTTGCAAAAGCAATGCCGAATTTTTATTTTTAGAATGAATAAAATAACATAGACAAATGAAGGTATTGGGCAGCTACAAAATTATTGATGCAAAACTGTATAAAAGTAAGACAGATATAAGCCTAAGGCCTAAGCTTTTGTGTCACAAACTTACTCCAGTACGCATTTGGTTGAGTCCTCCATTACTCCTAACTGTCATGTAGCGCTCTGACCCTTTTGGAGCTGACAATACAAATGATGGTGTTAGGACTGTATACAGTGGAACCATATCAAGGAAGGGATTATTACATATGCATGTATGTTCACTGAATTCGCTTGAGCACTATACTAGAGTATGTAGATAATAAACATGGATAGGCCAATAGAGACACCCTAAAGAAAGACAGCAAGAATAATCTATAACTTAACGCTGACGCCATTACGGACAAATGGTAGACTTGGAGGATTGTCGGGCTTGGCACGCCAATCACATAGCCATAGCCATACCTCCCCATTGTTATATTCGATATTCGTGCTGGTTTTGACCAGAAATGCTCTGGTTCGTGTCTTTTCGGCTTTTGACTGTGCTTTATAGTATCTTAGCACCTTGGTACTGAGATTATCTTTTCAGCGACTGTGCTGCTGTTCACTGTAACCAAACTTTTCTTCAGCCTTAATAAATCTTGGCCGGCTTCTCATCGTCGGCCCGGCAATAAAATAATAATCTATAACTTAACCATTGTTGTGCCAACCCTATTGCAGTAAAACACGTGTTTTTTTAAAACCAAAAGTAACGTACTGAACGAACATTCCATTTACTATCTTACAGGGAGATCAAAGGTAGTTAAACCAAGTTATAGATTATTACTACAAGCATATTAGTGAAGTCAATATCAGAACAGACAACGAGAAACTTTCCACCAAATTCTGACTTCAAATTAACAACAGCTAGTACTTTCAAGTTGCAAAGAGCCATATATATCCAGCTCAGTAAACTAAAACGGAGTCATCGCATATACGATGAAAAATTGCTTCATAAGAAAGGAATTTACCCATATATCTAGATGTTGGTGTGACACAAGCATGAGAACCGTAACCATCAGAACCCCACAGCTGCTCATTTGGTTCCTGCAGATCAGTTACACAGCTCGAGTCAAAAATTACTGAGCATCACAATGGTGCCCATAGGACTATCGCAATGCCAACTAACTAAAAGTAAAGCAAAAAAACACACGCATCTAAGTTTACGGCCATGCGCGATGCTCGAGTTTCGCCGGCTCAAAACTCCCAATGATCTTGAGGTAATTTTCCTAGAAAGTTTATAACTAATAACACTACTAAAGATAACTTCATCATGGTCTACCACTACTACTATCATCAGTTTCATGGACACCTCCCAAGTCCAAAGATCCAAAGAAATGAGGTAAAATTTCAACCACACTCGCGAAGGCAACTTCCGTGGTTGCACTTGCGGCCGCCTAGGGCGAGGAGGAGACGCTGCAATGCAACAGAGGGAGAGATGGAGAGACGGGCCTGGGCGGGCGGGTGGTCGCGGGGTGGGAGGCCGACGCGGTGGACCTGGCGGAGGGAGAGGACGAGGAGGAGCGCGGCGGAGGCGGCGAGGAGGACCGCGCAGCGCGAGATCGGCGACCGGAGCAGCCGCCGCGGCCGGAGTGGGAGGTGGTGGCGCGCTCCTCCTCCGCCGCCGCCGCGAGGGTTCGCCATGGCCGGAGGCGAGAGAGAGAAAGAGAGGAGGCAAAGGGGAGAGAAGCCCACGTAAACCTTGATGGGCTGATTTGGTGGGCCTTGGCGTTGCGGTTTGATGGGCTGATTTTGGTGGGCTCAATTGGGCGCAGGAGCTGTGCTTTGATGGGCTGATCTGGTGGGCTCCATTGGGCCCTGATCTTTTGCTGTTTGGTGGGCTGGTTTAGTGGACTTTGGCCCGTTCCGAAATTCCCGAGCTATGCTGCGACGGATTCGAGGCTAGATTTTTTACATTTTTTTTTAGATAATGGAAATGTGTTACATCTCCGGCCTCTGCCGGTAGGCACACAGCCAAAAAATTCAGACGTGAACAGAAAAGTTAAAAAAGGCGAGATGAGACAAATCCCCAACTTCTGCCGATGATATGATCTACTAAAATAATTTTTTTTTTCAAAATCACGTAGATTCTATCACGAAATTCTGTAGGTACTACACCATCCAAAATGGAATAAAAGTTCCTTGGCTACTAATTCCAAGCATGTAGCACCATTGCGCATAGTATCATGTTGTTCCTGTGAAAACATCATACACCAAGAGTGGAGCCAATTGGAACACATGAAGATAACCTGCATGATGTTAGGCATTTTTTTATGGTTAAAAACTATATCATTACGGCAACGCCAAATTGACCAACATAAAGCACTAGCTCCAAACAAAATCATTTTTTTGTGGGTCTAGGCACTCCCCTTAGCCAGTCACCAAAAAATATCTTTTGCATTGTGGGGAGGGGGAATGTTGAAGGCAAAGAAGACACATCGCCAAGCAAAACGTGTAACATGACAGTCAAAGAAAAGATGTTGGATGATCTCTTGTGTATTAAAAAACAATATTGCTTGTTTCCCCTCCAATTTCTCTTTATGAGATTATCTTTTGTCAAGATTACTTTTTTTCGAAGAAACCACATAAAACTTTACGAGATTATCTTTATGAGATTTTTTACATTTTAGTCCTTTGAAAACTTATTTTATCAATAGATTCCTGATAAAACTTATTTCAGAACCATATTTTAGATGCCAAGATCCAACGTCTCAGCACCAGCGTAATTGGTGCTGAGACGTTAAACCTCGGCGTCAAGGTCACTTGCGCAAAAAATTGTTTCATTCTTGAAATAAGTTTTCTGGAGATCTATTTATAAATAGTTTTTTTTAAAAAAAGGACTAATTAAACGTAAAAAATTCTAGGATTTGAGGAAGGTAACTTCTGGTCGATTGGGTGCACCGTGCACGTGTGTAAAACGTGCTCGAAATGAAAGAGCACTCGCCTCATGATAGACGTGGTCCTACATAAAGTGCACATGCTTAGCTTCAGAGAAGTATAGTGTGAAGAAGCGGCAAGAAACAGCTCAATGATTGTTCGGAACCTTTATGAAATATGGCAACTTGGATGCAGCTGTTTTACATGAATTTTAGGAGGTCCGGGTTGTTTCCTATAGATTTTGATGGAATCTTCTTGAGGTGGGTGCGTGTGAGCAATCTAGGGAGTATATATATAAGTTTTTTTTTCTATTAAATGAGAGAACCTATATAAAGGTGTGAATATCTTCCTAGCAGTTTTTATAAGATACATATGTGGAATTATATTGTAAAGGTACAAAAGCGTGCTTATTTCAATCAAGACATTCTTTGTGGGGGGATATCCATTAATTATATTTGTTAGAGCTTCCATAAGCAGTAGATGGCAGTTCAGTTTAAGTCTAATTAGTTGTACTCCCTTCATTCAACAAATTAAAATTTCTAAATTGTTTATCTCATAGATTAAAGTCAATAAGAAAAGTCGATTTTAGTGCCACTCATTGCCATGGATGAGGGTAGGTGGGTGGTTAAAAGAGATGTACTCCCTCAGTTTCAAAATATAGCAACATTATACTGGATGGGACACATCCTAGTACAACGAATTTGGACATGGGTCCATTACAAGTTTAGGGCCTGTTTGGTACAGCTACAACTCCTAAATTTAGCTACAGGAGTTGGGTCTAAAGTAGAGTTATAGAGCTGCTTAAACCCAGCTCCACAACTCTAGTTCATTTTGTGAGAGAGCTCCACCTAGCTCCACCCAGCTCCACTCCTAGTTTTGGTAGAGCTGAAACTGTTTGGCTGAGCTCCAGCTCCAGAAGGGGTGGAACTGGAGCTGGAGCTACGCCAAACAGGCCCTTACTATATTTTGAGACGGAGTGAGTAACTAATAGGATAACAGTACTACTTCCTGTTATTTATGGGTATGTTTTAAATGCTACGAACGCTTATATTTGTGGAGGGAGTACTTAGATTCCATAGGTCTACGGACTTTTTCAAGACTAGCTATATACGCCCAACTATGATATACTATTTTCTCTTTAGTTAATTATATATACTATTGAAGCAATATTGGAAACCGTATGACTGAGGTGATTAATTAAAGATAAACTCACATGTTATCTTTATTTTTCTACGGCTTAATTATCAGTCGCAAAGCTAAGCGACATTTATTTTACATGGTTAATTATATTATAATATTTTTACAGTAGATTTTTTTTAGGGTGAATGACGCGGCTAATTAAGTCAAATGTTGAAAGACTATGAACAAAGAATACTTGCTTTTTTGTTTAAGGTTGAAATAAAAATTAAACGTAAAGTCCCATTTGTATTTGGCATGCATATGCTTTGTAGTAGTTAGCCAGTCAAATAGTCAATGGCCGCCTCTCTTGGTCTTCTAGCAGCTAAGATCATCCACATTACGTAGCAGGTAGGTGTCCAAAGATTATTTATATCTGCATACATATGTAAATATAATATATATATGATGAGCTCACTAGATCGATCGGCTCATCACTGGCCGGCGAATGCAGCTTAATTGCATCATCATAGATATCTCTTATTTATGTACGTATATGACACTGATTGATTTTTACAAACGTTGATTATTCGTCTTACCAAAAAAAATCTAATTATCAGTTATTTAGTTGGTTATAATTTATTTATCATGCGTTAGAAGCAATTTAAGTACATTTTTTATTTTTTGCAATTTATATAAAAAAAGTTAATAAGACTATGGTTAAAGGAAACGTCATCTTATATTAAAAAAAGGATAGAATAATAAGCTAGGTATTGCATGTGCATGATGTTATATAAACTCTGTATTGTTATTTTCTGCTGCAAGATCTCACCATATCGTGTGAAGGAAAAGATTCTAGCATCATCTCCACAGTCTAGATCTCCTATCAATGTTAATCAACCATTAATTTAGGAGTAACTACTCTCTCACCAGATAGTTAACGACAAGCTGGGTGGCGCGCGTACGTCATCACCTACGCCATGGCTGACGACATCGCTAGCTATAGCTAGCTTAATTAGCTTCTTCCTCAGCTCCGGCCGTATGTGATATCTTGAGCATCGTCGACGTTAATGGTATTTGTGTTTGTATAACTCAGGCATGAAAGGATTTGGTGTTAAAAAACAGAGGTAATTAACTAATACTCCACGGTGAAAAAAAGGTCAGCTACTTCAACAAACTAAACAGATGGTCTGATATGGATGCATCACGCATCTCCTTTCAGAAGTTCAGAGTCCATTTTCAGCGAATATCGCCGATCGGAATCGTTTTTTATTTTTTTTCCCCTCCTGAAATTGATAGTCATATCAAAAGGTGGCCAAAAGGCATTTGCATATCTCCTTCATAGAGAACGATTACACTTTATGTTTAATTTTGCGGCCAAAATCCATGCCAGTACATCAACTGATACCTTTCAAATATATAACTTTTGACAAAATTATTGATATGACTGCACGAAATTCTAGCACAAAAGCAAATTTGAGCCACGCAGTATTTTATTACAATGAATTTTCCATAGGATTACGGCCATGTTCATTTTTCACAGCCACAAACCATCCCATCATGTGGGGGCACCTCAATATAGGTGAAGACAAAACGTGCCCACACTTTTATTTGGTCCCAACAATCACTTGTCACATAGAGTACAAATGATCGAATTGCAATCCCGGTGAATTATTCATGCTTTATAGCTGTCAAATGACATTTTCTCGGTTTTAAACGGCGTGTGTTCACTGTTGCGTAAATATTGTACTGTTGAAATTAAAGCGTATAGAAGGCAAAGTGACCGGCCGGATATATTAATGATTGATGAAAAAAAAGAGTAAAGTCTATCACTGGTCCCTAAACTTGTACCGCTGTGTCATCCCGGTCCTTAAACTCGCAAATCGACCGTTCAGGTCCTCAAACTTGTTCGACTGTGTCATCCCGGTCCCTAAACTTGCAGATTACTCGTTTAGGTCCTCCAACTTGTTCAGTTGTGTCACCCCGGTCTCTAAACAGGACGGTCTAAAAATTTTATATCAAAAAATAATTCATAATTTTTTCATGTAAACTCTAATAAAGACAGACTCTATATCAAAATTGTAGCCCTTGACACGACCTACAACTTTGTATTTGAAAATTTTTTGAATTAAAACTGTTTAGGGTCCCAAAATATTGTTGCACGTTTATAGATTTTGAAATTTTAATTTTAAAATTACATTTTGGGACAAAAAATGACTTAAAATAAAAAAAAAATCAACTACAAAGTTGTAGATCGTGTCGAGGGCTACAAGTTTGATATAAAGTTTATCTTCATTAGAGTTTACATGAAAATGTTATGAATTATTTTTAAATATAAAGTCCTTAGACCGTCCTATTTGAACAAGATGATATTCAAATCCAAGTTTAGGGATGGGGTGACACAACTGAACAAATTAGAGGACATAAGTGATCTGTAAGTTTAGGGACCGGGATGACACAGTCGAACAAGTTTGAGGACCTAAACGGTCGATTTACGAGTTTAGGGATCGGGATGACACAGCTGTACAAGTTTAGGGACCGGTGATGGACTTTACTTTAAAAAAAAAGAGCAATATGTTAAGATCATGATAAGGATCACCAACGAACGGGAGTGTAATTACAGTTATATAGTAGTAATTGCCACCGATATATGGGCATAGTG